ATTAAAAACACTGCCGTTGCAGCTTTATCACAGCCGTGTCTCCTTCCATGCGGGCTGGAAGGGGCACGGGGGGGGATGGGGGGGAGTGGGATGTCAGTGACATCCCACTCTTCGCCATGGGCCCTTGGGCAGAGCCCAATGGCCCATATGGTCAGTCCTCACCTGACCTACAAATACATTATATTGCAAATCAGCGCTGCTTAATATCACCAGCTACAGCACCGACCCCCTCACCCCCTTCACGCCTTCACCCACCTTCCTCTTCTTGGAGGCCAGGGGACGGAGTGCAGGATGTGTTGCCATGCTGTGCCACACATCTTTGTTGCTGCAGGAAGAAATTACCCTGCAAACTACCAATTACACACAATGCAGTTGCATCCAGCAGCAGTCCCCCTGCATTTCGTTATTTATACTGTAAATAGTCATATTTGCTGATAGCGCATGCAGGCTATGTTCCCTGCTTGGTAATGTTGCACAATGATTCTGCTACGTTGATCCTATTTCTCTCCCTCTAGTAGAGCATGTTCACTGTGAATGTTGAATCTTAACTTATTGAGTTATGGTAAGCTGTGATTCATTCAGTTATATGCAGGTAAAATACTGTTGTTTATTTTCCTTCCTAAGTCAAAATATACTCTACAAAGTGAACATGCTCCGCTCTGTCAGTAAATCGACCCCAGTATGCCTGATCTTGTCACAATGCTTTGAAGACAGGGCCCTTAGTGTGAAGCCAAATATATATTCGATATGAGCAGCACCCCTGAGTTACTACAGATCTCATAAATGTGAACCTTCATAGAAAATATGAGAGGAGAATCTGATCTGTTGGCAAGTGTAGCTCTGGATAGATGCTTCCTTCTGCCGTCCCTCAGTGGTCACCTGACCCAGCACTCACCAACACACCTGTACTGTAAAGTGGGCTTCATTGAAGTTAAAACAAATGCCCTAAAGGGAAAAGTTTAGTTAAAGCAGTATAAGAATAACAGAACCAACTGGAAATGACAAGGCCAATAAATAACAGTTTGAGAAACAGACACTGAATAATCAGATTTAAATGAGACTCTAAGGCCTATTTGTCGTTCTAAAGCCCTGACTTAGCCACTGGCCAGTAGAGATTTAAACACAGTCTGCCGGCATTGGGGCCTGTATTCTCCTGTTAAAACGCTCTGCCCTTGGAGAATATTTATAATGCCAGGGGAATACCCCAAAGGTTCTGAGCCATCTGTCCACTTTTCCAGCAAAGTTTTGAAATTACAGCCTACAAGAGTCAGAACACACGTGGCCAAGATGCCTCTCGCCCTTAACCGCTTGAAGACCAGGTGTTTAGATCCCCTACCTGGCCAGGCCATTTTTCAGTGTTCAGCGCTGCAGTATTTTGACTGACATTTATTCCGTCACGCAACGCTGTACTGACATGAATTTTATACCATTTTTTGGGGACAGATAGAGCTTTATTTTGGTGGTATTTAATCACCACTGCGGGTTTTATTTTTTACTATATTCAGGAGAAATTACTGAAAATTTTGAGAAAAAAAAGGTTTTTTTTACATTATGCTATAAAACAACTAATATTACCCATTTTTTTGGTAAAATATAAAAGACGGGGTCACGTCGGGTAAATAGACACCAAACATGTCAAGCGTAAAAATTGCGCGCACTCGCAAAATCGCAAAAAACTAGCATACCCAAAATTGGCCATAGGCGACGCTTTAATACAATGCTCTATTTTTTTTTTTAATTTAACCTGCGGGCTGCACGAAAAAAATAGATCAGATTCCTCCATCAACGCTACAAGTGTGTTGATCAGGGAATCCCCACTGTTTCTTTTGTATTCTGACAGTGGCCGCCAGCCGCTTTATGAAGCTGCATCTTCATAAAGGAGTACCACAGCTTGTGTCTCTCTCCTCAGGATCCATGCTTAACAGCACAGCTCAGTTCTGTTGTAACACAACCCATCAGCCTGATATTTCTGGGTCCTTGATCAACAGCACAGCTCAGCCCTTTCTTAGAAGCTCTGGGCACCCGGAGCTGTGTTCTCAGCAGCCAGACACTCTCCAGACGCACTGTGGAACACAGCTCTGTGTCCAAACTCAGTGCACCTGGTGGCTCCCCCCTCCCTCTTTGGAGCTGCTCTGCACAGGGTGCACGGTTCACCCCCCCTGGGCAGTAGGAATGTACAGTCTGCCCACTGGTCCCCTTGTGGCTTTCCTCTCCGATCTCCATCCACAGTAGCTCGTTCCCTCTCTCGGGGTCCCTGCAACAACAACCCAGCGTGGGTTCTCTCTCCTCCTGTCTTCATGTGGGCAGGATTACTAGTCCAGCCATTGTGGTGGCCAATAGGAATCCTCCTCTCTCTTTCCTTCTTCCTGCTTCTCCTGGTTGCATTGTGCTATATTGCAGCAGGAAACATGGTGACAAGCTCAGGTGTAGCTTAAAGTGCCTGTGCTGTTTGGCTCCGGCCCCCTTGAAAGGCTGCTGACCAAGGCTAAGTCGTTAGCTTGACTTAGCGTGTTTATCCTCTAAGCCAGGGGTGCCCACAATTTTTCATCTGGAGATCTACTTTTCAAATGACGAGCTCAATGAGATCTACCAAGGAAAAAACACCTGCATTCAGGGGCGGGATGGGGGCGTGGCGGTGCATTGAAGTTAATGGCACCGCAGCCAGGCAGGCCCCTCGCCCACAGTGCGATCGCCTGCACCCGGAACCCAGGCACATTAGTGCCTGCGGTCCAGTCCAGTGCGATCCGCAAAAATGCTGCGAGCACTATGTTTGCAGATCGTTCTGGACCGGAATGCACTAATGTGCCTGCGTTCCGGGTGCGGGCGATCGCACTGTGGGCGGGGGGCATGGCTGCGGTGCCATTGACTTCAATACAACCCCACACCGCCTCCCACCCCTGAACGCAGGGAGTCGGCTGCCTTACATTCCAGTGCGTTCTAGAGGCCCCGGCGTCCTGTCCTCCCGTGGTGCTCGTGTGGCCGATGTTGCACATGGGGAGAGGTGACCTGCCCCTTTCCATCTGCAGCGTCTGACACATTCAACCGGCAGCCGCACGAGCAGCGCGGGAGCCAAAAAAAAATGTTGTCCCCCCCCCAACAAGCGTGTGATGTCACCCAGCGTCCTGCCTCCAGGATTTTATTTTATTGTCTACTATTTTTTATTTTATTTTGTATTTCTTTTTAATTCTATTTGTTTTAACTCTTGGGGGGGGGGGGGTTCGGGGAAATATTAGGGGTCTAAACAGCCCACTGATATTACCCTTTTAAAATAGAAAAAGAAATTGAGGACGAAAGTCCTCAATCTCGTTTTGCTACAGCCTCTGTTCTAAATGAATGGAAAGCGCAGAGGCTTCCCATTAATTCTGCAAATATTTTACTATCATCCAGTTTCTGAATGGGGAGGAGCCGCCTGTACAGAGTGTTTCTCCCCATTGAGAAACTCATGAACGAACAGGAAGTGATGTAAACCACATCCTGTTCATTCATAACTGTGGACACATAGTACTACGTGTCCCCAGTTATTTACAAAAACGAGTGATCAGCTGATCGCTCCAGTGTTTGCCCTGCACAGAGGATTGGTACATATCACTGATATGTACCAATCCTCTTCCGCTCGGCTTCCGCTGTTTACGCGATCGACTGGTAGATCCAAGAAGATGTTATTATATTTTCTGATATCCACTGTGTTTACTTTGTAGGAATAAAGAACAACAACTACATATTGCCCAAATATCACCCCAGGCTTTGGTCAGATGGTGTTTATCAGTGCTGCAGGCAAACAGAGAAACTGGCTCCAGGATGTGAGGCATATCAACTCTTTGCGGGTAGTAAGTAGCTTTTAATTAATCATCTAACTTGTGCAAATGTTCCCTTAGCTAGTAGTAGTTAGCCACATTAAACTGGACTTCTTCTGTAATGTTGAATATGTTTAATAGCTTATCCAATTTCAGTTCAGAACTGAACAAGTGGCTTGGACAAGCTACAAAATGTCTACATTACAAGTCCAGTTGAATGTGACTATCCTCTACTAGCAATACCATGCACTGAATAATTGAGAACCTTCACGGACAAATATGCCTCCTTAAAGTGTATCTAACCTCAAAACTAAAAATGGAATATATTGCTTAATAGTCAGATTTGTTAACTGCATTGGTTTCCTTTTTCCAGGCTTTTTTGCCTTCTCCTTCCTCTTCACATAGTGACCCTTCCAGTAACACTTTTCCTGTCTCAGTTAGGTACTGTATCACAGTAATGCAGCGTTCTTACCCCAGAACGCTCTCCCGATTTGGACTACAAATACTCCTGTCTTCTCATCTCTATTGTATAGTTCATAAAAGATACCTGGGAAAATTAAAAGCTTTGTTGGAGATTCAGTTCAATGCACAGGAAGTTACAAAGAGACTGGCTTTCTAGCCAGATCAATAGGTATTTTTTTGCACTTGCAGAAAGTGTATGCAGCCCCCCACATTTAAGTAACCTGCTAAAAAGACCCAAAGCGTTTGACAGGCATAATATATATGGCCTCATCAGTGCAAAGTAAATTCTTTGTCATGCAAAATAGTTCAGGTATATGGTAAGTTGAGATGTTGATTTAGCCATCTGTCTGCAGTTTGTTCGATAGACATTTAGCAGAACTAACCACTGAAACATTGCTAGGAGACACTTTTTTTTTCAATATAGAATCGGTTTGTAAGCACGCTGGTATAAGTGATTTTGTGTGCCTCTTCTGCCAAAGAACTCCTTTTCCATTTTACTAGAAATGTTTTTCCCAAATACTGCCTGCAGCAAAATGCAGTGCAGTACATTTTCTCAGGATCTGTAAGATGCCTAACAGTGGAGCCCTGATGTGATGATGCAACTCCATTAGCAATGTGCAGGAGTTGCATGATCACTTGCCATTCTGTAGTTAAAGAAGGAACACTCAAGCAGCAGAAGCTTCTGTGAAGATAGCACTGGTGACTTTGGATTGGCAAGGGAGAGCATGGATCTGTCATCAGTGAAACAGGGCAAGTTCAGAGGTAAGTGAAGTTAGAACTTTTTTGGCTTGGAAATACTAGGGAAGGATTAAAACCTACTGTTACCTTAGACTTGGCTGTCTCTAATCTTTACAAAATAGAGGATTTCCTTTAAAACAGTTGTCACCAGAACAGGTGTCCCCATTACAAAATGTGCCCTCGCCTCTTGTCCTGGTGGCAACTGAGCGTTGGATTTCCATCAGCTTCTGTTGTAGTGATAATTGTTATCAGGAAAGATAGAATGGGTAGATCAACCTAGGGGGACACAGACAACAATAAAAACTAGACATGGGTTCTAATCTTTCCACACTATATCCAAAATGGAAACAAAATTTGCGCTATAGATACACTTTAAGAATGTATAAGATTTTCACTGAAGCCATAGTGTTTAGACTCTAAAAAGTGAATCTGTCATTTTTTGGTACTTTATATTTCTCATTTGTTTCTAAAAAAATTATTTTGAGACTGGTTTAGAATAATTCTTAATATCACTGACAAAGAACATTTGTCTTCTTAACATTTGCGTTTATCTTTGTTTTGTTTATTCAGTTGCATCAAAACCCCTGCCACCTACACCAGATGCTAAGGTAATACTAGGATATATGCATAAAAGCCTTGGTACATGTCTGTACAGAGAGGCATGTTAATAATATGCCTGTCTGCCTACCAGGCCTGTGTTTATTACAGATATTGTTTAGACTAGCAGAAGTGTGCCTGTTCCAGAATGGGCAAGCTTGATCTGTTTTGAGCATACAGAAGAAGAAAGGTTATAAGTGCTCCGCTGAGAGGGAGGTAGGATTAGGTTCAGGGTCATTGTGTGTAAAGTGGAGGGAAGTGTGCACAGGCTTGATGGGATACATAGTATTTGAGGTTGAATAAAGACATTAGTCCATCAAGTCCAACCTATTAGGATCTTATTCTAGAATACAGGTGCCTTAGTAAAGTGGGGTGCAAAGCTGTGGTAGTGAGAAGGGAAGGGGGTATGCAGGTGGTGTTGGAAGCAGGGTGGTGGTTGGGTGCTGGCATGGTGGTAAGAGCAGGGCAGTGTACAGGTAAAATAGTGGAAGAAAAGAGTGTGTCTATATGTACAGGCATTGGGTGACAGTTTGGGAAGGGTTGTACAGGTGCATTTGTGATAGTTGGAGAAGGGATGTAGACATGGGGTGCTGATGTGCACAGGCACAATAGTAATAGAGGGGCAGGATGTAGGCATGTTGAGGAAGCTGGGGGGGAAGAATGCATGTCCAGTGGGGAGAGGCAGGGTACAGGTACAGTGGTGGAAGAGGGGGATCAGGCATTTGTGATGTTAAAGTGCAGGTGTGGAGGGTGGTAAGGTAAAGGGGGTTCAGACATGGAGGGAGCTGAGAGAAGGGTGAGTGCAGATGCGGTGAGTGCAGAGAGAAAGAGGGCCATAGGCACAGTGCTGAGAAAATGGGGGGTGCGGACACAATACAGTGTCAGTTCTCCCGCCACACCGCCAGATGTCGCTGCATCAGCCGCGTCATCTCTAAATTTGACCTTTTGGGGGTCACCACAACTTGGCAAATGTTACCAAGGGGTCCCGGCCCTAGAAAGGTTGAGAACCACTGTTCTAAGAGGAATGGTGATGCTGTGCAGTAGGTGCTAAGAGAAAGGGGGGGTGCAGGATCGGTGGAGAGCGAGAAAAAGCAGGGGCTGGGGGGCCAGAGTGTAGGTGCTGAAAGAAGGGGGTTGCAGAATTAATGTGTGCTGGTATTGTGGGTGTTAAGTAGGGCACACAGGAATGGTTTGTTGCACAGTAGGTGGTGAGAAAAGGAATGAGAGTGGTGAGAGAAGAGGTGTGGTGGATGGTGGGAGAATGGGGCTGCGGGTGGGGTAGTTGTTGAGAGAAGGGAAAGGGTGGAAGTGCACTGGATGGTGAGAGAAGAAGGGGGTTCAAGTTCAGTAAGAAAAGTGGGGGGGTGGAGGTATGGTGGGTTCTGAAAGAAGGGGGTTGCAGTCGCTGTGGGTGCTGCAGACATAGTGTGGAGAGGGGGACTGGCTGAATTTGCGGGTTGGGGTTGTTAGGTGATAAAGGGGATGTTGGCTGGCAAAGTAAGAGGGGGAGTAGGGTACACTAAACTGCAGCTACAGAAATGCTGCCAGCTAGCCTTGATGATATTATGAGCACTCCCTCTCCACACAGAAACTGCCTTTTTGTTTTTAATCACAGTACCAGGTAGAGCTGCAGCTAACGATTATTTTCAAAATCGATTAGTTAGCCGATTATTAAGTTCGATTAATCGGTTAATCGGATAGAAAATAAAATACATTTTTAAAAATGGCTCCGGTGATGGGACTGCTAGTTTGTATTGAGATTGCAGTCCATCACAGGAGCAAGCTTGGAGCGGTGGAAGTAAAAAAGAAAAAAAAGATAGTGTGGTGTGCAATATAGTGAAATGAAAAGTGTAAAATTATATAGCAATGAATGCAGAATGGCACCGGCTATAGAGGACTACAAGTCCCAGCAATAGTACATTGTACAGCACAATGCAGAATACCGCCAGCTATAGAGGAATACAACAAATCCCAGCAATAGTACATTATAGCTGGTGGTATTCTGCATTGCGCTCTATAATGTACTATTGTTGGGTTTTGTAGTCCTCTATACAGTGCAATGCAGAATATCACCAGCTATATAGGAATACAACAAATCCCAGCAATACATTATACATACAGTGTATAATGTATTGCTGGGATTTGTAGTCCTCTATAGCTGATGGTACATTGGTCTGTATAATATACAGCACAATGTACCATCAACTATAGAGGAATACAAATCCCACTATCCCAGCCATAGATTATAGAGCACCATGTGGGGAAAGTGCAGGCTTACCTGAGCAGTCTTCCAGCAACCTGTTTCTGAGATGGGGCCTGTCTATCGGCGGCTGTCATCCGCCCACACCTGCTCCTCCTTACTTCTTCTCCCTGCGTCCCTGTGCCGACCGTGGATTTGGGCGGGCAGTGAGCGTGAGGCAGGGAGGAGGTGTGGCGTGTGGAGCATGGATGCGGGCGGGTCTGAGGTGGGGAGGAGGTGTGGCGCGCAGCGTGTGTGGAGCCGTGAACAGGGGCAACCAATCGGAAGCCGATTAATCGATGATTGAAATAGTTGACAACTTTTTCAATAATCGATTATAATCGATTATGTCGATTAGTTGTTGCAGCCCTAGTACCAGGGATACTGACAGAAGGCATGACAGGCTGCCTAAAAGTATCTCTGCTGTTGCAGCCATCTCCTACTCAGCCTGCTTTCTTTATTAGCCCTGAATATACTGTGTAATCTGTTAAGGCTCAGAGAGCAAGCAGGCTATGCAGGCTGCTATTAACAACCAAGCTGGCTGGCAGCAATATCAGTAGGGAAAGTGGGAGTTGTGTTCTGGGAGGGTATTCAGCAGTCAGTAGATGTGTCTGTCTGTAGCTCTGTAACTCGAATGCATGGAACAGCCAGACCTTTAACAAAGCAGCAGTGGGGCTGAGGAGCAGACTGTTCTGGGGCTCAGGAGTAGGCTGCTGTTGCACTCCTTTTCGTCTCCCACAGCCTTCTAAGCAAGTGACCAGAGGGAGCACAGGAATCAATATCAATGGAAAGAGGGCTGCAGGGGTCTGGATTGGAGGGGGTGACTGATCAGGGTTTGTACTGGAAATTCTTTACAATCTAATTGCCCAGTACCGTAGGAGAGGTGAAGAATGGAAGAGGAAGGAGGAGAACTTGCAACTGAAGTCAGAATCCCTCAGTAGCAAAATGAAACTCTGACTTAGTCATTTACCCATTAGAAAATGAAGCTGTGCTGAGAAAACTAAACTCTAATTTAGGTATTATATTATAATTTTGCATATGGCATGTTAATTTCTTTAATTGTATTAATCACCACAATAGAAACCATTTTATTGGTTGACTTCATCTATTTAGACTGTCGGAAAACTGTATCATACTAATATTAGACCAAAAAAAGCTGATCCTGATATGTTCATGCAACAGCATGGTTATGAAATGGTAATCCACTTGATTTTAGTTAGTGTTTACTTTATTTGGATTGAATTGTCCAATAATTTATTTTCTCTTTTGGGAACTCCAGAGACACATTTTCCCTATTGAAGTTTTCAGCTTTCTGTTAACAACTTATTTTTTTCTTCAGAACTTCTAAGCTGTAATTTTCTGATGGGAGGGAGAGAGGGGTAGGCACACACAGGCTCTTTGCATGGGCTGTTTATAAGGGTATTTTAACAGGAAGTTTGGTTTTCTTTTTCTAAAAAAAATGTGTATTGAGGTTTGCAGGCTAATACAAGTACTGTTAATTCATTTTCATATTAATCTTCTTTCTCTTAGAAAAGGCCTCCGCCACCTTTGCCACCAGAACAGAATCAGGTGGATAAGGAAGACAAAGAGGATAAAGTAATTGCAATGTTTGACTTCCATCCTGTGGAGCCCCATGACCTTAGACTGACCATAGGGGAGGAATATGTGGTGCTTGAAAAGAAGGATGTGCATTGGTGGAAGGCAAGAAATAAGTATGGGTAAGGGAAATGGCCAAAGATAATTTCAGTAGCTGATCCCTATCTTATGATGCAATTTAAGAACCTGTTCAGTAGCAATGCCGTCAAGCATGCTTGGCAGGCGTTTATCTACATTTCATTCTGTCTTTGGCACAAGTGAATAGTGCCGCCTTGGCATACTGTCTATTCTCTTTCTATTATCTAATGTATTACATGATCAGTACAGTGAAAATTAAAAAAAGATTGTACTGTTGAAGGCAGCAAGATGTTTTATATATGTATAGAACCATGAAGAGATTACACAATCTACCAGCAAAGATTCTGCAGAGGTTGTGAAAATTGATGTGTGTTAATTTAACTACAAGGAATTTTCTGACTGTTCTCAGTAGATGGTGCACTTTATCTCCAACTGAAATAGTATTACAGTTCCAAGGCATGCAGATATGACAGAATAAAAGTATAGGTTTTGCATTGATGATACATACTCTTATGCAGGTGATAAACATGGTTATAGTTGTCCTTTCTGTTTGGCTTTGGAGATCACTGTCTTGTCTATGAGCACCAGTGAAGTACAAAGTATAAAAAGTTGCTTCCACTGCAGCCCCAGAAAGCCGGCTATCCAAAGGATACATTTATTTAACATATGAGCATTTCTACTACCCTTAGTCTAATCTAGAAGTTTAGCTTTGCTTGTCAACATTTAGATCTGCTAAGTAAATATAAATAAAAAAATACAGTTACCCGTTTTTAAAATGATAGCTGGGGACACCCTACTGACCACCTGCACTTTAAACCATACCCACAAAGCCACATCCCCCTTGGTAGCCACAGCTCCCATTTTTTACCACACTCTGAAAACATTTAGTCACAGACTAGTGGAACAAGAGATAGACATTCAAGGTATAAAGAGAAAAAAAAAGAGGCACCAAGATTTACATCAATAGTTAGAAGGGAGTCCTTGAAATTATCAAAAAGAAATATGTTCCAAACAATCTGGCACATATATTCTGCCTCCCCCTGAACCTCTGAAGGAGTAGCCAATAAAAGTTATGGCTTTAGTGGGGGAGTAAAATAATCTACAGCACTCTGCACCCCTTGTATCCTCACTACTCCAACATTCTGCACCCTTGTATTCCCAGTACCCCAACACTCTGCACCCCCTACACCATCCACATTCTGCACCAGCTACATACCCCAATACCAGTACTCTGCACCAGCTGCATCCCCAACTACTCTCTTTGTACCCTCATTACACCACATTCTGTTCCTCCAACCCCACTACAGTACACAAAACTACAATAGAAAATTAGTCCTGAAGGATAAATCATATACACATATTTACATTGAAAAGAGAGAAAAATAATATACTTTATTGTACTAGCAGAGGCTGAGAACTGAACTGTAGTGAATAATTCAAGTAAAATTAATCCATAAACTGGTAAAGGTTTCATACGCTGCATCTGATTTCCCAGCCCAGTTTAATGCAGGTGTCACAGCGTGGGCAGCCGGCTTTTCAACTTCACAGGTGCAAAATCATCATTTGCAATGCTATTAATGGCTCCAGTGACAATGTGCACAGACTCCTCAATACAGGGACTGTACCCAGGAATCAGGGAGGAATGGTAACCATAAAGTATTATTGGACTGGTTGGGTTGGGTGGCCCAAGCTGGCCAAAGTATTGTACATTTTTAAGAAAGAGTTTAATACTGCAGTAGCACCTCTTATGTCCAGTTGTGGAACAGTGTTTTAATTAATAATTAGTAATGGAAGGACTTGCAGAAAATGTATGGCCAAATTTGAACTCCAAGCAAACAACAAAATACAAAAATTTGAAATACATACAGTTTATTTGAATGGTCTAACTTGACAAAAGAGTTGTCATTTTATCCAACCAGTTTTGTGATCTAAACATCTCTAGCAGAGAGCCTTGCTCTTAAGTTAATGACCTGACCTGACGTTTCTCCACATTAATTCAAAAATATGACTTATTCACTTAACTTTCCCTTACCTACTGACAGGACAATGAAGAAACAATCGGGTCATTATCTGCTAAATATTATTGCTAACAAGCTCCCATTATATGGTTGACATTCCTCTGTAGTGCAGTAGCCCCTGATTAGGTCAGATTGCTTGCTTTTTTTTTTTGCCAGCGTGCTGTGCAGGGGAATATAAGAAACATGTAAAACAGAGTTAAAGTTTGGCTACCCCTGCTGTAGAGGATCTACACTTAAATGTCTAACATAAAGCTATGTCAAGAATCTTTCTGGGATGGGTATCTCGAGTCTAATAGAAGAGCTTCAATCATTTCTTTTGAGAAAATGCTACTCCAGGTTACCTTTGGTGCTGGCCTTTGTCTTTAGGTCTGGGTATTTGATCACATTGTCTGTGGTGAAGAAGAATCATCTAGTCTTAAATATGCTTCTCCTTTTAAGTAGAGATCACATAATACAGTCCCTAGATCTTTGCACATGTGACCACTACTGACGGAGACATGGGGTAACATTTTCTCCTGGAAAAGTAAGTATTTTCGCCCTTCTATTATCCAAGGCTGCTAACCCGGTCATATTCAACTAATTTAAATCTAGGCCCACATTTTTTAATAGTAAACCATCACGTGAAAATGCTGCCTGTGTGTCTTGTTTTTGACATTGCTTTTGTACTTCCCCATTTTTTTGCATCCAGGATCTTAATATTTTCTTACGTTGTCTTACCAGACAAAACAAAGACATATGTACATACTTATACACATTACGCACTCACAGTCACTGTATCTCATTTTAAAACCTTTAAAGTGACACTAAACTCAGGAGTTAAATCTCAAAATGCATTCAAGTACCTTCAGTATTAACAAACATGTATCTTATTTGTGCATCACTCAGCTGTGGATCCTCAAATCATCTCTGAATTCATGCTGACACTGTTCTTCCTTCTGGAGTTTGGTGTCATTTGAAAGTGTTTCCTTTTTTAATGAAACATTAAATTATGCCCAACCTTCAAAGGAGACGCAAATGATAAGGATTTCACCTCACATGCGCCTATGTGACTTGGAAATGATGCAAATGCTCACTCTTCATTCCAGTAACTGCTTGTTTTTCTCATTTTAGACAGGAAGGCTACATTCCCAGCAACTATGTGACAGAAAAAAAACTAGACAATCTAGATCAATATGAGTAAGTTGTGCAATTATGGTCTCAAGTTTCTCATGCAGATGGTGTGTGGTTTGACAGCATCGCCATAAAAATATCGCACATTAGCTAATGAAAACCAGATTACATAGACATATTAAAGATGAACATTAGTCTGATGGAAAAGCAAAATACTGTTTTCAAATTCAGCTGTTGAATATGCTAACACTTTTACTTGATTTCATCCAATGGGAGTGCAATATAAAAGTCTCTACCTTCCCTCTCACTCTGACTGGACAGCTTATGCTACGCTTGATTTTTCTATTTCAGACCTGTTCAGCTATGACATGTGGAGGAAAGGAAGTGATCTCAGCGATCCTAATTCTTTTACAAAAATGTTTTCTCATGTGACTGACTGTTGGCGCAATGGGCAGGAGAGAGGCCCCTGTGAAACTACATAGGGGCCTGTAAGGTGCTCGGTTTGTAATGGGCCCCAAGACCTCAGAGGCCAAACAATGGCTAGGGGAACTTTTAGTAGCTGAAGTTACTCCAGGCAGTGTCTGGTCACTGGGCTTACTCTGTGAGCGTATTTAATCTCCTAGTTTAAGGTGCCTTCATAGTTCCAGCGCTGACATTACAAGAGCAAGTTATCCCAAAAGCAAGAGGTGACATCAGCATCTACTCTGTAGCTCTGCTTGAGGTAAATAATGACTGACACCAATGACCATATGCTTTAGGACCCCTGACCACCAGTGTGAGGGATCTCTTCTTCCACTCACCACTAATGTAAGGGGGCACTTCTCCCTGCGGCCTCCAGTTTAAAGGAAAACTCTGGTTACAAATTGTTTTAACCCTTGCAGTGGGGCTACATTCGCATTTTAAAGGTTAAGTGCTCTTTTTTGCCAGAGTTTTTCTTTAAGGGGGCACTTATCTCACTGATCACTAATGTAATAGAACACAATATTGACTTCCAGTGTAAGGGGTAAGTTTTCCATTGGCCACCAATGTAAAAGTTGTTTCTCCCAATGGCCATTGATATAAAGGCATGCTTCTGCCACTCTCCAACAAAATAAGGGGCCTATTTTACACTGACCATCAGTTTAGGAGAGGGGCCTTCTCCCACTGACTATGAATGTAAGGAGCATATTCTCCACTGACCACTGGTATAAGGTGGCACTTCTCCACTGACTATCAATGAAAGGGTCCTTCTCCACTTACTGCTAAAGTAAGAAGGATCCTTCTATAGTCACCATTAAAGTAAGGGGCATTTTCCACTGACCACCACTATTCTACATTGACCAGCAATGTAAAGAGGCACTACTCTCATCACCATTTACAAGGACCACTAATGGGATGGAGGCATTTACAGTACTTACCAACTGAACGGAGCACTCTAACAGGGTTATTCACAAAAGGGTGAAGAGTTTGGAGAAGGCAGGAGAAGTGAACAATCTAAGACAACATAGCTGAACTGGAAAGTGAGCTGAACTGGAGATTTTTCAAAATCAGCTATTTTGGCCTAGATCGTTCACTTCTAGCTTGTCCAAACCCTTCACCCTTTTGGGAATAGCCCTGCAAGTCTACAATAATTTGGTGTTAGAGTGTGTTGCTGATTGCTAATGTGACATGACATATTAGGCTTAATTCACTAAGACAGGTGAGTCATTTTAACTCAAATTCACATGAATTGGATGATCCTGGCCAGCGGAAATCTTTAGTGCCTTTGGCTAAACTCTTTTTCCCGGCCCCACAAAACCCCATAAACTTCTATGGGGCTGTCTCCCATTTACGTAATACATATTTCTGGCATTCTTCTTGAAGGTGACATCATGCAAGGGAGAGAATTAAGTTGCAATGTCTCGGTAAAATAACGTATGTATCTCTCCTATATATAGTATTAACTACCATATTTACCATGGAAAGAGGTAATGGTACCCACCAATAAAAGTTACAGTAGTCCCCCAGCTGCTCAGTGCCTGATGCTGGCTCTGATTCCAGTTACTATTTTACATAACGTTTGTGTCTACATAAATGTTTTCTTTTAGGGATAGTCTTATAGCAATCTACCTGTTCTCACAAACATACAGTATATAGTTCTATAGTAGCATAGACCAGTTATTTGCCCTACTTATCCACTTCTCTTTTCAGGACAGAAAAGAGCTTGTCTGCAGCTTGTCTGTAGTTCAGAATTAACATTTAGTACAACTTGTTTGTTCCAGGTGGTATAGTAGAAATATGAACAGAAGTAAAGCAGAACAGCTTCTCAAAATGGAAGTAAGTATTACAGAAGGATGATGGCTGGAGATAATAATTAACACTATAGTAGTTATTGTGCAATAAACTCTGTTCTTTCAAGCATAAACTTGGTAATGTGCTTAGCTAATGCATGTGGTAAATCAGGAAGTAACTATTTTTTTTTTCTCTCCAGCAATGGCATTTTTTGTTTTGTTTGTAAAGCCTTAACCCTTGTGCTGCCACTGACGTAAGGCTTACGGTGGAACACAACCACTTGCAGCTGGCCACATCAGTATGCCTTACGTCGGTGGCTTTCACACTCTGCTGTAAGCTCATGGTCGCTAATATTAGAAGGGTCCCCCCGATGGTCCCCTGTAAAATAATAGCTCTAATGAGCTATTAACAAAAATTCCACCCCTGGCTCTACCGCTGCCACCAGCATCTCTCAGCTTCTCCTGCCCTTCCAGAGCCGTTCCATGCTTGGATCTGTTTCTCCTCAGATCCCCGCTGCTCTCCTCCACCTGTATTTTACATCACTTCCTGTTTATTCATGAGTTCCTGAAAGGGTAGAAGCTCTCACTACAGAGGCGTCTACCCATTCATAACTGGTTGATAGTAAATATTTATTATCTCCACTATGTGAATGAATGGGAAGCCTCTGTAATGACTGATTTCCATTCATTCAGTGCTGGGGCTGCAGAAAAAAAGATTGAGGGCTCTGCCTGGCAAAGCATTGTGATGCGTTGCCGTGCATTGTGATGTGCTGTAAGATTAAATGTACGCCTGTATCATTTTATCACAACACACACACCAACACAGCGCACAAATGATTTTCAACATAAGTCGCTTATTTACAGTTTTGCGTTCCTTAATTTTAAATTTTTTACATATTTGTTATTTATTAACTCTACAGTTTTATCTTTTAGATTTAGTCGAAAAGTTTTTTTCTTTTGTGCACTGATACTGATTTTAGTGTGCTTTTAGTGTGTATTTTTTCGGTTTAATATTGATTTGATGAACATTTACAAAATTATCGCAAGAACTACAAAATTAGTAGCACCATATTTTATTCTACCAGGCCTGTGCTTTATCTGGCAAACAGTTTGTTGTAGTGTTAGGTCTGTCTTGATTCACATACCTCGGCTGTGTAACACAACAGAAAAGATGTATTAATATGAATGGTGGGACTATATGACTGGGGTGAGGAATAGTACCCAGGCACTGACATCTTTGCCCAGACATTGGCCCCGGTTTGGGATCATTGGCCATCTTTAATGGCAGTACCGGGATGACATAACTCCCACTCATGCGCGAGAGTTCAGTAATCCCAGTGTGTGCCAACATTTTTCACTGAATTGTGCATGCACAGCTTGGTGTATATTGTCCAGAAGGTCGCGAACAAGCAGGTAAGAATCCTTTATTGCAGAAGAGTCATAGTATGTCTCTATTGCAATAAAAAGCCCGTCTGTTTGCAATTTTTTGTAAAGTTCCTGTTCAAAGCAGCCACCTTCACCATAAAATTCAGGAGTTTTTATACACCTTTATTTTGCGTAGCCCTGCTGCCATTCTTGCCTCGGTGAAAATGGCATTTTGATTCTTCACCTGCAGCCTCCTGAGATACTTACATTACGTATCCCAGGACACTGCAGGAGGAGAATCCTTCCAATTCATGTAAATAAACTCAATGCAGATCTTGCGTGACAGATATCTGGAGCCGAGTCCAATCACATACTGTTCTGTGAATGGAGGATAGAAAAGCCTCCTGTGATTGCTAATGTCTCCTGGGACTATTATCCTCAATCTCTATCTGTGCATGTGCAAGGTCTGATACTACATCATGGGGTGCCAGATGAAAAATCAAGAAACGGAAAAGTAGGGTGTACACAATTCAAAATATATATGAACCTTGTACACAACTCCGTTCGTTATAGCGAACAAAACCACCATTATTTAAAATATATTTTCCGTTCTAAGCTATCATCACTGATCCTTTGAGGGGAATACCAACGTTTGAAATGTAAACATTCCATCGAGGAATGCAACAGAAGTGATGTAATGAGAGAGATTATGTTTTTTCTTGCACAAGCTCATTGCAACCGCCACAAATATTTTTGATTGTCAAAAAGTGTGGAAAGACAGTGGGGTAAGAAGAGAAGACAACACTAGATCCATTGGGCTTGTAAATATGTGACTACGGTATAAGAAAGCCACCAAAGGAAGGGGGAAATTCATTTGGGAGGGTCAAGTTCCTCTTTCAGCGCAGAAGTAGCAGTCCTTCCCTGATTAGAGGTTGAGGATCAGGTGACAGGGAGGAACCACAGGGGTAGGATCTGTGGGAGATGCTAGGAGTTCATGCCAGAAGGTCGATGAGGGAATTTGTGATATCCACGCTTTCTCATTTATTGTTCGAGAACAGTTTTGGAGTATTATGGGATTGTCATGGCAGCTTATGGGTTAGTGAGCTCTTTGGGGGTCTGTGAAAAAAATGGTTACAAAGCCTGAGTGGTGTGGTGCATTCTGTTGCTGTTAGTTGTTTTAATGGGGGCTCTGTCCCTTGGTAAGTTGGAAATCATCAATTCTGGAGCTGCCTTCAAGTCGGTGGTGTATGCCTGGGGATAATGGGGGGATCTTAGTCAAGCCTTTTTGGCTAGTGGACACCAAAGACCTCCCCCTTGTAACCCACAGTTGTTATGCTATTTATTGGTATTTTTGTATTTCTTTATTGTTATTTTGAGTTGTTGACTGTTTAAATCCAGGTTGCGCAGTTCGTGTGTTCGGAGTCCAAGCAAGTGTACGGAAAATAATTAAACCGTCTGTCATGTATAAATCACAAGAATGACTGAACATAATTTAGATAAGACATTTTGCATATATGGGATCAGATGAGCTCAGGTTTGGACCAACCCAGGGAAATTCACCACCCTGCAGCTTGATGTAAGCAAAGGGGCAGGGTGCAGTGAAGTCATTGCTCTTATATGGCTACATGGATATATTTAATCAATTACATTTACCTAATATGCCTTCAGCAATGGTCAGCTGTGGGTCAGGAAATGCCCATACCCGCAGCTGATTGGATGTGAAGCCCATGCAGCTTCCATGTCCAGATTAGCTCAGGTCCGGACCGGCTTTGGTCCAAACCTGAGCTCACCCTTATATGGGATCTACTTTTAAGCAGACCAAATATAATTTACACAACACACACACCCCTTGATAACCTTTGGCTGTTGGATGTAGTATATGGAGGGTGCAGTTCCTAAAGAAGAACTATGGGGTGAGTGAATAACACTCATCCCCATATTTAAAGCCGATGTGTGACATTGAAACTGTCACAGGTCGGCTCTATTGATCGGGATTGAGCGAAAGCATACCGCTGCTTGCGCACTTCCCGATCATCTCCCTGCAGGGATTCCCCCCTCCCCTCTTCGATCCCCCAGTGCTGACTGGAGGGACAGATGGGGAAGGGGCAGGCACAGCTGGCTCTTCCTCTAGATAGGCAGAGCCAGCTGTCAATCAGCCAGCAGTGTGGATTTCGACAGTATTGTTGGGATCCATATTGGCTGCGGTGCTCTATTGCCTGCTATATGCTGAGTTTTGTGTCAGGGAGGACACAGTATACAGTATGTCCTCCCATGACCCTGAGGAGAACTATGGAAAAAGAGCGTTGACCCATAGTTCTCCTTTAAATGGCAATCAGCCCAAGGCTGGGGAGAGAATTCAGAGACTAATCATGACCACACAAGGAATTTACCCACTACAAAACCACCCAAAATGAATACTGCATTCAAGTATCTAGATATGATGTGCTCTGTCAAAACGAAAGAGTGCAGACTGTTGACGTGTATAAGGACTGCACCTGCCTGTGCTCATTAATGTTTTGTCTAAATACACCCACTATAGTGTATACAGGGTCTGCATTTAATGAAGGTAACGCCATAAGTGAAGATGGACAGATGCAATCTAAATAGAGATCCAAAAGCAGACAGTGATTGGGGGCAAGAGTTCTGCTTTGCATTCTTTGATATGAAATGCTAATATTAAAACTTAATCACCAGTGATCATAATAATCACACTGTTTTTTGTCTTTCAGGACAAAGAAGGCGGGTTCATCGTTAGGAATTCCAGCCAAGCTGGCTTGTATACTGTGTCACTTTATACAAAGTATGCAGGGTAGGTTTGTAACTGATATTCAAAAATCATATAACGATTATATACATGTATAAAATCAACAAAACCCAAAACTGACAGTGAGTTACTCAATAATAAGAATGTTTAACCCCTTCACGACTGGAGACGTACACTGTACATCTCCATCGTGAAGTGCTCAAATGAGTACGTGAGCAGCTATTCAGGGCTTTGAAATGCTGGTAAACTATGAGAATCGGTATTGAGGCATCCATTAATGCAAGATTTAAGCTGCTACAAATATCAGATTGCTATCAGCGATCTGGTATTTGACAGCTGCACTCCGCTCTGCTATTTCAGTTTTGACAGTTCTGTAGAGATCGGGACTTCCCGATGTGTACAGGCTATTTTGTTACATTCTTAAGCACAGAAACATGTAACAATATATTTATATGCTGAAACATTGTATCAGACTTCTGATCGCCTGGGAACGATCAGAAGCCTTTAGTGAGATCTGTTTCTGACATGCTGTCAATATCAGCATGCCAGAATAAGTATCACTAAGGTTATTGGCTGTTCCTAAGTTTGGAGAAGCCTAATAATAATCAAAAATTAAAAAAATTTAATTTATCAAGCAGTCATAGTGAGGGAAAAAGGGGCTTTTTTTTTACTTTTTTATTTTTTTACAGTGTAAAATAAAATTAGGAAAATAAAGATTATAAATAAATATATTTTTATACTATAATTATTATAATTGCCTGTTCACATGATTTTCAGGTCCTGATCAGGTCCGGACCAATAATTATTATAACAAATTAACCCCTTACAATGAAAATCTACGTGAAAGCACTCAAATCTAAATAAATCCAAAATTCCTCTTGATTAAAAGCCAAAATCCAGTACATCACAGCAACAAGACACTAAGGAGTTTCAGCTATACAAGCCTTGGTCATAGCTGTGACTGAGGCTTGTATAGCTGAAACGCGTTAGCATCTTGTTGCTGTGATGTATTGCAACAAGTATTTGGACTCCAGCGCTTTCACTTACTTGCACCGTTTTTGAAGGGTAACAGGTACAGGATGTTCACCGTTGCGTCTCTCAATAAGAGATGCTATAGTCACAGTTACAGCTGCAGAAGCCCTTTTTAATGTTTTTAGATGTATGTGTAGAAGACACCAGCTTCCAGGGCCCATTACCATTATTGCACTGTGGTAAATACAAACATGTACTGCAGCACATGCACCTTATTTATTTTTTTGATTAGTTGGGTAGCCAATCAAATTGAATGGGCTACCTTAAGGCAACACATGTTATTGCAAATGTGTAATGTGTATGGGCCTTTAATCATTAGAAACACTTAGTTATTTGATATGTACACATGGGCAGACACATGTGCTTTGCAGTACTACACAATCATTGTGCTTTGCTGCTCCTTCTCAGGATTTATGTCTGAGTCTGCTGAGTCACCGTTCAGACCGCAGTTTGCTTCCCGTGTGTCTGATATCTTATAACACCAGCTGACAGTGACAATTTTAGTGCCTGTTGTGACAGAGGAATGAATGGTAGATGAGCGTGGGGCGGAGTGGGGTCACTTTGAAAAGGAGCTTTCACTTTGCCCTGAGTAGGCAAGGTCACATGAGCATGGAGGTTGAATGAGGCAAGTATGGAGCTCCCTCTAGTGGTTAATAAACAATTTTATACATTTAAAGCAATAAAAACATGAAAGGGGCAATTAAAAGCATTAAAAAGGTGAGAGTGACATCAAGAACTACTTGTAGTTAAAAGGTGAGAGTGACACCAAGAGTGACATCAAGAACTACTTGTAGTTAAACACTGCAATAAATAATCTAATATGTACTAACAAGAAATGCATTCTTTCTGCATATTTACCTGTACCTTTCTGCAAAGGCCACTCCTTAGCTTTGGAGCTGAATGACTTTCGGGCTGTCATAATAGCTCTTACCTGCCGTACACCCGCAGGCAATTCTAGTATTGCATCCATTCTTTTCTGTAATGTAAACACCTTCAAGGCCAGCATAGCACATTGGGAAAGAAAGTCCCAGCTGTGGCTTTATAGAGTACAGAGAATATAGAGTTTAGAAGCTTTGCATTAAAACATTGTGCTTACCCACTTCTAAACCAGTTAATGTTCTGTAACTGTAGTTGTACAAATAATTAAAGTAAGATTGGTAGGGATAACTGTTTGACAGATCAAGAATGACTACACAAATACAATTTGTCATAGTTTCTTGTACATTGCTGGCTCCAAGTGCTTTATGGGATTGTCTTAGGCCCAGCCAGCCCTTCAATACATTTTAAATATGCTTTATGCTTTTTTTTCCTGTTCTTATGGTCAGCTATGCATGTCCTTTTTTCCTTTTAGAGAAGGTTATACACACATTTCCCAGGGAGCACTGCCAGGAATATTCCTGTCTGTCCTTTGTAGTCCTATGTTAAGTGTTATCTACTAAATTCCTTATAATCCTAATAATTATAATAACAATAATAGTAATTGTTTGTCTTTTCAGGGAAGGTTCCTCACCAATTCGTCATTATCACATTAAAGAGACACAAGGATTCCCCAAACAGTGTTATCTGGCAGAAAAACATGTCTTTAACTCTATTCCTGATATGATTGAATATCACAAGCACAACGCAGCAGGTAAAGTGTTTCCAAAACAGTAGAAAACGATTCTTTTTGGAGGAGTAAACAGTAATAATTGTTTTAATTTGACATAGATTCACATCTTTTTACACCATGTCATCTCTGTCTCAGATCTGTACCTTAGTGTCTTTTAGACTCCTGTTTAATGCTCAATTATAGCTCGATAGATAGATACCTTCCTCACAGACTGTAACATACAGGGGTACAGGTACTCTTAAAACCTTAGACCTCAAGGGACTCATATACACACATGCACGCACTACACACACACTTACACATAAAGGTTGAACTTGATGGACCTGTGTCTTTATTCAACCTCAAATACTATGTAACTATGTAACTTGATTATATTGTGACATCATTTATAATCAAAGATTCATATTTTCTTTTAATGGTGGTAGGGTACAAAGACATATTAATAAAGCATTCATTCATATTCATGATGTCACACTCTTTATAAATGTCTGTGTTGCTGAGACTGTCATGTTCTGAGATGGACTATTTAGATTTCTATTGTAATTTATGTTATATGTTCTCTAGGCCTAGTTACCAGATTAAGAAATCCTGTGTGCCCGAGGAATAGGACAGCTCCTACAACGGCAGGATTCAGCTATGGTAAGGAAGATTATATTTCTTTCATTAATGTGATGTTTAATGTTCATGTTTATAACATTACTAGCATACTGTATGTGCTCTTTATGTTTTCAGATAAATGGGAAATAAATCCTTCTGAGCTCACTTTTATGAAGGAGCTGGGAAGCGGCCTGTTTGGTGTGGTGCGTCTTGGGAAGTGGCGAGCACAGTATAAAGTCGCCATCAAGGCCATTCGTGAAGGTGCCATGTCTGAAGAGGATTTCATAGACGAAGCCAAGGTTATGATGTAAGTTCATTTATAAGAGGTGAAGCATGCACCATCCCATAAGATAAATGTATAAAGTAAAGCTCCACCTTTTTCGTGGTTATATGTATCCAGACTTAAAATGACCACTTTGAGTAAAGCTTAGTGTATATGGACAATAGGATTATGCAACCTCTGGCCTGCTGCATCTACCTTCCATTGACAGATGCTTATGATAGAATAAAACTTTAATATTACTTTACTTACTCTAGTCTGCACTGAAATAAACTTTAGATTGCACAAGCTGCACACATTTGCTTCCCTGTACCCACCGTTCTGTACTTATGATTCACAGTTTAAATCATTGTCTACTTACTTCTGCCTGAGGAGTGAGAATATCCTTCATGTAGGAAATGATAACAGACAGCTACCTGGTACTGGAGAAAGAAGGGAATTTCAATCAGAATTGGGGTCAGAATTGTCCATTGTTGTAGGCTGTGGTTGCCATTCTGGAGAAATGATTACAAAACATGGGGAAAGTAACAGTCTTAAATGGTACAATTGAGATGAAGCTGACTTTTATAGGTAAGATGTATCCTACAGAAAGCCATTGCAGCTTGTGACTAGCACTGTTATAAATGTTACTTAAACATAGAAAAGATTGTGTTTGAGGCACACAGCCAGGTAAAGTCTGCTCAACACAATCCAAGGTTGTTAGAATAATAGTTGTGTCTGATTAACCCTTTCACTGCCAAGCCCTCCGGAACACTTTACACCTTAGCTGGCAACACCATTTTTGCAATTTTTCCCATTGTTTTGATTCTCTATTGCTGCATTGCTAGTGTTTGTAAAAGACCCCCCCCCCCCCCCAAATGTGAAAGCACAGGCCCGGTAGAAACAAAAAATGGTGCTACTAATTTTGTAGATCATGTGATAATTGCGTAAATGTTTGTCAAATCAATATAAAAACCGTTAAAAATACACAATTACATTGATAAAGCACACTAAAATCAGTATCGGTGCACCAAAAAAAAATTTCCGTCTAAATCTAAAATAGAAAACTAAATTGAGTTAATAAATAACAAATATTTGTAAACTTTAAATTGCGCCTTTTTGCGAAATGGCAAATAAGCAACTTATGTTAAAATTAGTTTGTGCGCTGTGTTGGTGTGTGTGTTGCGATAAAATGATACAGGCATACATTTAATCACAACATAGCGTATTACAACGAATGGCAATGCGTCACAATGCAGTTAAATTACATTGCTGGGCAATGTATTCTTTTTATAAAATGTAGTTCTAAGTGTATATAAACTGCATTTTTAATGTTTTTATTAATGGTTTTGTTACAGAGACATGTAATATAACAAAGTTTATTATAAGTCCCAGATTTTTAAGCCACATCCAGAAAGTCATCACAAATGCAGAAAGTCGACTTACAGGATACAGTATATGGGCACTGGGTTCAGTAACTTGTATGGGACAAAGCTAAAGATGTATATTTGGCCAGAAGGGTCGTATGTGCCAAAGTTGGTGGTTGTATCCAGCAAGTACTGTGCTAGGGCTGATGTAGGTGTAGAGTGGCTATTGGCCATTGTCACGAGACAGAATAGGAGAGTATGTTGAAGGTAAGAGAAAATGTTCTAAAAGGGACAAATGTTCCAGTGATAAGTAAAGCTGTTTAATTTTTTCTGCTTAACCTGCACGCTGAACGAAGAAAATAGAACAGATTTCTCCATCAACACTTACTTTATGAGGGTTGATCGAGGAATACATCTGTTTCCTCATTGGCTGCCAGCCCTGTTCATTCAGAGATTTTCCAACCGACTCCTTTGATCAGCTGATCGAGGGATGCTGGCCAAAAGGGTGCCAACAGCAGCACCCACTGTGTGTATTTCGGACGGTTCCTGACGAACCTGCCAAAATTCACATAACATGGCCAGCTTAAGATAATAAATCTTTTGGAGTGATTTCCACTTTTTTCCTGTTGCCTCTCCAGGATACAAAGTGAAGGAAAATCTCCTTAGCAGGGCACAGACAGCAAAACCCTTCCCTACTCTATCCAAAACTAAAATAATACAATTTGGCTTTACATACACTTTACTACAAATGGCTTTCAAACAATTATACCAATGCAATATAATATGCATTGGTATTTAGATAGTTCATGTGACACTTATATCTGTGTTTAGTTCTGCTAGTTTGTGAACCACTATTGTTGTGTAGTGTAAAATTAAATTTGTCGCCCCATACT